GAGAAAGCGCCACAATGCTTTCCACAGTGGTTGCACCATTTTACACTCCCACCAACAGTGAATAAGGGTTCCAGTCTCTCCACAACCTCATTCTTAACTCTTTGTATTACAAAGCAAATTAATAAATGAAGAGGGACTATATCAACGCAAAAAATATATAGTAGAATGTGGTCTTCTACGACTTGGAAATAGCAGCAAATAATTGAGTTGGAGGTCTGGAATTTGACTAAACTCCTGGAAGTCATCCAATTCATATTTGTGCAACCAGTTACAGAGAAGGGATGGTTCTGAGCAGATACAAACTGTATTTTCAATTAAGCACATGAAAGAACTACAGAACTTAATAAGTTCTTGACTGAGTTGACTTGCAAATAAAATGAACATAAAAAATATTAATTCCAAGAAATATGAAAAATAGCCTAGTGGTAAAAAGCTGTGCTGTAATTTCAAAAAAACAGGGTTTGAATCCAAAAGCTACTACTCTGTGGGAGAAGTTTGGGTAATGCCGTCAGTTTGGGTAATGACTACAGCCTCTGAAAATCTGCAAAAGGGTCAGTTATGAGTCCATTCAGACTCAAATATGAACATTAAATAGAAGCACAAGTTTGAGTTATCAATGAATATTTGAGTAAGATTCTGGAATAACTGAATTCCAATTCATCATATGCGTCAAACAAGTTATTGAGAAAGTAGTGTTTCAAGCAGATAACAATTGTATTTTCAATTGAGTATATGAAAAAAACACAGAACTTATCACATTCTGTAGAGACTTTGTCTACAAATAATATAAAGAGGCACATATTAATGCCAAGAATTTTAATAGTGGAATTCAGTGTTCTAAAATTCGGATCTATTAGTGAATTTTTGTGGCAGATTACTTGAAACAAGGTAGTGACTGAGCAATCACCTCTGAAGATCTCAATTTTATTTTCAATTTAGCAAATTAAAAAAAAACTTAACACATTCTTTATTGACGTGTTGTTGTGTAATATAGTCACAAGCGACCCATAGATACCTGCTGGTGGGGTTTTAGAAGCAGTTCATTACAAGACAGGAGATTATCCATCCTTCTCTCAGTAAATAATGAGTGGCCTTGAATCCCTTTTCTTAGGGATTGCAGTGCAGTACCTTGCCAATAGACCACAAGATCTCTCCACATGTTTGTTGTTGTTACTGTTGTTGTTGTTATGTGCCATTGGGTCTCTTGCGACTCATAGCTACCCTATGTAGAACAGCCCTAACCTTTATCTATCCTGTGCCAACATTTTTGTCTCTGCCACACTTACCCGCATTACACCAGTCACTGAATCAATCTATCTCACCGAGGGTCTTCCTTTCCTGCCCTGTCCCTCCACCCTCCCAAAAATGATGTCTCTCTCCAAGGACTGGTCTCACTTTATGTCCAACATGTCCAAATACGTCAGATGAAGCTTCAGAATCTTTGCCTCCAAGGATCAGCCTGGTTTCACCCTCTCTAGGAAGAACCTATTTGTTCTCCAGTCCATGGTATACTCAACACTCTTCTCCAGCACCACAGCTCAAAGTCATCAATTCTCTTTCTATCATACCTAGTCATTATCTAGCTCTCTGACGCATAGCAAGCAATAGCAAAGACAATGGCCTGAATCAGACACACGTTAGTCTCAAGCCTGACATCGTTGCTCTTCCATACTCTGGAAAGGTCCCTGACAGCTGACTTTCCCAATGCTGTTCTTCTCTTAATTTCCTGAGTGCTGGTACCAAGAGCATTGATTGTGGAGCCAAGCGAACTAAAACTATTAACAATCTCAATCTCTTCACCATCCGTAAGGATACTGCCATTTGATGCAGTGGTGAGAATCTTTGCTTTCTTTTTTTTTTAATTTTTTTAAATTAATTGTAATGAACATTTACAGAGAGTTTGGATTTCCATTCATTCATTGCTGCACTTCTCTCCCCACCCAGCCCTCTCCCCCCGCCCTCCAGTTCTCTCCTCTCTTTGAAAAGCACAAGATAAGTACATGAGTCAAAAATTATGGAAAAGTAAAAGAAAAGATTCTTTCATTGTTTTACAAACCCTCCCCCAGGTCCCCTC